TAGAAATACAATACCATCCTCTAAAACGCCATACTCTCAAATATTGTGTCTTCTTGTTTAGAGAATGGAAGAAAGGGATGTTTTAGAAATATAATATTCACCCGAACGTCATACCTTCAAAGCGGGTGGTTGGCGGGTGCTCTGGTGTGGTCTGCTTCTTCTTCCCTATCAAAAATCTATCTTTCTTATCTCCCCTTCTTCTTTTTTATGTTTGTTACTCTCTTGTAACATCTCTAATCTTCTGGCGCTCATATGATCTTATGCAGTTGCCAGCGCCGAAAAACCTCTACTAAAACGAATACCTTCAAATAACTGAGTCTTCTTGTTGGGAGGATGGGATGTATTACGATCATCCAAAAGTCATTTTAATTCTCAAACATGTGAGTCTTTGAGTAGGGGGAATGGAATACATTTAAAGTATACAATCTACCAATTGTCATACCCTTAGATACGTGTCTTTCAGTAGTGGTAAGGGAATATTTTTGAAGTATACAATCACACAAATTATGTCATACCCTCAAATGTGTGAGTCTTTCCGTTGGGAGGAGGGAGGAAAGGGATGTTATAGAAATACAATACCATCTCACAAACGCCATACTCTCAAATATTGTGAATCTTCTTGTTTGGACAACGGAAGAAAGAATAGATTGGAGAAGCGTGCTGACAAAATGAGTTACTTCTCGTGCTGACAAAATGAGTTACTTCTCGTGCTGACAAAATGAGTTACTTCTCGTGCTGACAAAATGAGTTACTTTTCGTGCTGACAAAATGAGTTACTTCTCGTGCTGACAAAATGAATTACTTCTCGTGCTGACAAAATGAGTTACTTCTCGTGCTGAAAAAATGAGTTACTTCTCGTGCTGACAAAATGAGTTACTTCTCGTGCTGACAAAATGAATTACTTCTCGGATTTGAGCCCTATGAAAATAGATACATTATCATGCTTATAGATTAAGTTTTTACAATTTATAAGTATGAAATAACAAAAGGCATTTAGTACTCAATGACTATAGCATCAATAGAAAACCTAGAAATGTGTCCCTAGTGTCGATTTTTGGACAATATCAGCTTTTGTGGATTGTGAGAAGTCACTCATTTTGTCAGCGCGCCTCACATTGTAATTTAAAAAAAAACCAACATACAGAAGTGAAATGTCCTCGTGGTTTGGTCCACGTTTCAAGATTAATTATTGGGCTTTTTCTTCGACAATTGGACAATAGGAAAGAAGACAAAATTCCCTTCCATTTAACATTAACATTTACTATGAAGTATCTCAATGTTTTTGCTAGTATGTTGCACCCCTCTCAGCCACCGGTGTGGCCCTGACATCTGGCAGGGCAAAACAAAACCCGCCTCTGAAATAATCTAAATTGTGTGGATGAGGGCGTACAAACGCCTATGTAATAATAATAGACAGCATTTGTGAGGCAGTGTGGTGGAATCAGGCTCTCGTCAATTTTTGGGCATGTAGAGTTATTGGTATCATCTTAAAGCTTGTTCACTTGCCTTTCTTTGGATGAAAAAAACATTCATTTATTTTGAATACAAGTTGAGATATTTGCGAGTGAAGGAGGTGGGGGTCACCTGTTTTCAGAGGTAGAATTAGTGAGAAAATGGCCGCCAAAGATTAGTTATTTCCTTAGCTTAAGATTCCGTGGTAACTGAAAATGTACATATTTGTGCCTTTAATCAACGTTTTTCAGAAATATTAAAACAGAAATGAGTCCTTTAATATGCATGAAAAGTGTTGAGCCAAAAAACAAAAATTTGATAAAAATTCCCAAACCTGCGGAAAAATGCAAGTTTCTTCACTTTGATTATTTTGACAAGAGCCTGATTCCACCACACTGCCTCACATTTGTATGGCGCCAAATCCCCGCTCAACAGCAAGCTTTACGCGCTGCACAATCTATACCATAAGTACTTAAGTAAGAACTTTCTGCTCTGTCTGTCCACAGCTTGCCCACGAGGCTTCGTGCAGTGCCCGTCGGAGGTGAGCTGTGTGCCCTCACAGTGGATGTGTGATGGTGAGCCCGACTGTCCCGGTGCGGGGGATGAGGATGATTGTGGTAAACTTTGGATTTTAAAAAATATCTATCTATCTATCTATCTATCTATCTATCTATCTATCTATCTATCTATCTAT